GGGGAGGTGGCTGCTGGCTGGCCCAAGCAGAGAGCTGAGGCATCCAAGAAATGTTCCATTGGGGGTAGGGGTGCCAGGTGAGGTGGAGCATTCCTTGTATTCTAGCAGCACTGAAGAGCCACTGAAGGGGGTAGGGGCAGTGTAGGTCCTGGGGCAGCCCCTTTATTCCTTTATGCCCCTTCTCCCCCATAGCCTATTTCTAAAGTCGCCTTTTCTGTCAGATAAACCTCAAAACTTTTAATTTTATTTGAGATTTTTTTTTTTTTTGCTTTTAAATAAGAGGTGGATTGAAGAATATTTGAATTGACTTTATATTATGCATAAATATTTATATTTTATCTAAATAACTGCGCTGTAACAAACTTTGTGTTAGACAGTTGAAACTGTTAGAGTTGGGGGCTCCGCTTTTTCCCCCTGGCAGTTTTCCCCTGGTATAAGATGTACTAGATTAATTTCATTGTTGGAGGTGAGGTGGATGGGGGAGTGAAATCTCCATGGTTCCTGCTTTGTGTTCCTTTCCCAGCTCCATCTCTTTCCCTAGGGACCAGGCACTCATATGGCGGGGTGGGGTCCTAGCCTCAGTTTGAAGAAGTGGGGGCTGGAGCGGGTGGGGTGGGGGTAGGGATAGGGCATAATCAAAGGGGCCATTTCTTGCTTTTCTTTCCTCATCTTCACTGCCCCCTTGAGCTAGGTGGATTTTCTCTCATGACAAGAGTATTTGGTAGGGAAAGCAGGTTTAAGATACAAAGACAACCCACCCCCTGCCCTTTTGCTTCCCTCCATCAGTCTGGTTGACAGGAAGAAACCACACCATCAACACCAACAAGTTTCCGTGTTCCTTTTACAGCAAAAGGGACTTTTTATATAACCAAATGTGGTGTTTTAGTGACTTTTTGATAATGTACAGTTTTTTGTGAATTTAAATTTATTTCTTTCTATATTTTTAGGACCAATCTCATTTTTAATAAGGTTAAAAAGAAAAAAAAGTCTAGCGAAAAAACTCCTGTTTTTGCCATGTGATGTTCCACAAGTGCAGCTGTAGAAAAGTGCTTGTCAGTTGAATAAAAAAAACACATTTGATAGAGATTCAAAAGACTCTGTGTATTCATCTTCCCTTCTACGTGTACACCTGAGGGGGAGATGGCGCTGGGATGGTCATGACTGGCTTAAGAGACCACAGGCAGGGGAACAACATGTTTGCCTTTTCTGTGCAAACGGTACTAAAAGCCGGACTCCTGTTCCACACCCTCGGTGTGGATGGAAAGGGTTATTAGTGCTCTTGCCTAAATGTCTGGCTGAGTTGCTGGGCTGGAGCAAAGTGGGATTCAGTATATCCAGGTCCTGCCTTGTGAGATGTGGCCCCAGCTTCCTAACTGTGTTTCTGTCATAGCAAATGTGGGACCATCACCGGCTTACCACTTTCCACTCACGGATAAGACACCAAAATGTAGACTTCTGTGTTTTATTAAAAAAAAAAAAAAGTGTGAAGTAAGACAAAATGGACCTCTACCAAGTTGTAGGGAAGGACAAGGAAAAGACCAGGGGTAGAAAAGAAGCCTGAGTTAGAATGGTGGCATTGGCATAGATGTGGGCAGGGTATAAAACTAGAAGTCTCCAGATAAAAATGCATAAAATGTGTTTAAGTATAAATTAAACATTTTCTGTCCACATGCAAAGAAGTATTCATCCACCCAGAAAGGGTATATGTTAGAGTAGGGGCTTCACTGAGGCTGGAAAAGTACTACCCTCCAGCCTGGAAACTTTGTCTTGGTGAACCCCCTAAACCGTATGTTAAGATAGAGAAGGAACATTCGCTTCCAGCCTTACGAAAATGACAGACTCCCTCTTTGGTATTCGGTTACCTTTACAGCTATACACCAGCCACCGAGCAGCTTTCTTGTCCTCTTAAGTTCTAAGTTCTGTTCCTATGCTGGTGTCCTCCAACAATTACTTATTACACTAAGCAGTCACTGCACAGCCTACTCCCCTGGCTTATCACAGCAGGACCTATCTGGAGAGTTCACACTGTTCTAGGGTGATCAGTGAGCTAAAAATCCCAGAGAAAACATTGTAGGACTAGAAATTCCCAAGAGTTTTTAAATTCCCAAGAGTTTAAAAATTATGAGCCTTTTCTAGCCCCTACCTTCCCAACCCTCATAGAGAAGACAGTAAAGAAATAGGTGAATATGTCCTTGTTTAATTGTGAGATTGTGAGGTAGATGTGTAACAAGGACAAGGAAATTTGGGGATCTGCTTGGAGAATGAAAGTTTATTCAAAACAATCAGGTCAGGGGTAACCGGGGTGATGAGGGTACCTGGCTTTTGTATAGTCATGTGGGGACCGTCCCCTGGGAGGTGCAGCAAAGATCAGAAGGGAGACAGAAGCTCACAGTCTGGTTTTAGCTGCCAACTCCTATGGAAGTCCATAGCTGACTCCTATGGAAGGCCTGCCAAATGAGGAAATTTCAGGAATTTGCTAATGCTTGGGAGGATTGAAAATGTAGGCAGCACAAAAATAAGAGTAGTTGGTTTAAAAGGGAATCAGAAAGGATTGGTATAACAAGGCACAAGATTTGGAATTTACCCTTTACAGACTGGCTTTTATAACACCCACCTTCCTCTCTGAAGCCTGCTGATTCAGGGCTAGCAGAGTCTAGGGGCAAGTTTGGGCCAGATCACCCACCCAAGTTTATTGCCCTTGGCTGAGAATGCAAACCCCCTCATGAACGCAATGCTGCCACTTTCCCAGAAGGTGGGGCATGTGCACAAGGCAGCGGCAATAGTTCTTTTCTAGAAGACTAGTAGCCACTGCTACTAGGGATTCCTAGGACATTCCAGCAAGGCCTCTTACAGCATCTGTATGATGCAAAGTAACAGCCCACATGCAGGCCTCAATTCCCAATGGGTTGACATTGGAGTGACAGGAGTAGGCACTAAGGGAGGGTGAAGGAGCTCACTGATTGTCAAGTTAGGAAAGGAAAACGAATGGAGTGGAGCTGAAGTGGCCCAACCCCCGGCATGGCCTGTGAAGCAGCAAAGTCTGGTCTTCATCTTCAGTATGAGTAATGTCCTCCTACCACCCCCACTGTCTGTTACTGACAAGGTCTGTTACCCTTTAGAGCCACCAGGCTTCCTGGTCTGGGCAACTCTACAAATTCTTTGGTTAAAAACACTGCAAAGGGCCAGGTACAGTGGCTCATGCCTGTAATCCCAACACTTTGGGATGCCAAGGCAGGCGGATCATTTGAGCCCAGGAGTTCAAGACCAGCCTGGACAACATGGCAAACCCCATCTCTACTAAAAATACAAAAATTAGCTGTTTGGAGGTCAGGAGTTAGAGACCAGCCTGGCCAACGTGGTAAAACACCATCTCTACTAAAAATACAAAAATTAGCCAGGCGTGGTGGCAGGCACCTGTAATCCCATCTACTCAGGAGGCTGAGGCAGGAGAACTGCTTGAACTCAGGAGGTAGAGGTTTCAGTAAGCCAAGATCACGCCATTGCACTCCAGCCCAGGCGACAGAGTGAGATTCCGTCTCAAAGAAAATAAATAAAAAAAACTAAAAAGGCCAGGTGCAGGGGCTCACACCTGTAATCCCAGCACTTTGGGAGGCCGAGGTGGATCATTTGAGCCCGGGAGTTTGAGACCAGGCTGGGCAACATGACGAAACCCTGTCTCTATTAGAAACACAAACATTAGCCGTTTAGAGTTCAGGAGTTGGAGACTAGCCTGGCCAACATGGTAAAACCCCGTCTCTACTAAAAATAAAAAAATTAGCCAGACATGGTGGTGCACGCCTGCAGTCCCAGCTACTTGGTGGCAGGGGAATGGGCAGCTGAGGCAGGAGGATCACCTGAGCCTTGGGAGGTTGAGGCTACAGTGAGCCATGATGGTGCCACTGCCCTCCAGCCTGGGCCACAGAGTGAGATCCTGTCTCAAAAAAACAAACAAACAAACCAAAAAACCAAAAAAAAAAAAAACCCCAAAATCAAAAACATTAAAAATAACATCTCATCCAAGCATAGAGGTTCACACCTGTAATCATAGCACTTTGGGAGGCTGAGGTGGGAGGCTCACTTGACAGGAGTTCAAGACCAGTCTGGGCAACATAGTAGGAACCCTGTCTCTACAAAAATTTAAAAAACTCACTGGGCTTGGTAGTACGTGCCTGTAGTTCCGGCTACTTGGGAGGCTTAGGTGGGAAGAACCCTTGGGCCCAGGAATTTAAGACTGTAGTGGGCTACGACTGCATCACTGCACTCCAGCCTGGGTGACAGAGCAAGACCATCTCTAAAAAATAAAATAAAAACATCTCTCCATCATCATCTCCACATCTTCCTGACCTCTACTGGCACCCTCCTCCAAAAAGTCCAATCAGTTTAGGGTCTGAGTATCATCTCAGAGCCTGAGATGGGGAGTAATAACACCAACAGGAGATGGCTAGACAGGCTCAGAGCCTATAAAGGATTATGCCATCTGAGGAAGGGACTCTGGTGTGTTCTAGTTGACTGAAAACAGAAAAATGACAAGTACTAAAATATTTTAAGAATGTTATGAGCATCTATAATGAGTGGGGGTGAGATGTAAAGTACAAAGAGAGTAAGAGCTGGGCTCCGTGAAGACAGTATTCAGAAAACACTAGGCATAGTGTTTAAGAGCCCAGCCCTAGGCTGTGAGCTGGAAGGCTCCCCTACATTTCCCTCTGCCATCACCCCAACCAATTAGACAATTTCATGGGAGAAACAGTATCCCTCTTTTCTTCCTCCTTTCCTCCAAACACTCACCCGCTGTTACAAATGAACTAACAGTTAGGAGGGAAATGAGTGTAAATCAAATGCACCAAAAAAGAAATTCCTCAGTGCCATTAGCCACTGCAAAATAACTTCAGGTTCCCTATCACTTCCCATGCCCAAACCAGAAACACTCATTAATACAATCTAACAAGTAGATTCATATGAGAAGAACTCCAAAAGGTAAATTCAAAAATCAAAACAAAAAATTAGAGCCATTTAAACCTTTAAAAAAATAGAGAGAGAGAAAGAAGACAGAATCAGGAGTTCTGTGAGGCAGAGGAGAGGGGAGCAGCAATATCAACCATGGTTTCTATGCATGAAAGGCCCTTTCTAAACTTCCTACCATAGCAAAGCTCCCCTGGTCTATCAAATGAACAGAATTCTAGATTTGTTTTCTCTTTCTCTCAAAGACCACTGACAAGAAAGCAGCTATGGTATATTTTCCTTGACTGAGGGCTGGAGACTCAAAACCAAAAGCTATCTGCCCAGCCAAAGCCCTCTAGAAGGCTGCTGGGCTTGGGGCTATTTTACACGGGGTAAAGACTGCGGCAGTTTGTCCTTTACACTCTATATCCTACCCATTGCCCCGCACTCCCCCACCCCTAGGATGTATATAGAAAGTCGACACTAGGGGGCACTGGGACTCTCAATTCTGGGGTGTCTGGGAAGGGAGGGAAAGCTGGGCCAAGTTCTACTTGGAACAACTGATACTACAGTTTCTTTTCCTCAGCTGTCAGCCCCTTCCTCTCCCTATGGCCAGCGTAGTGAACACCTGTCTCTCTATCCTCCATCATTTGCCTTTGACTGTCTGGTGGAGAGGCACCTGGCCTTGAAGTGCAGGGCAGTGAAATTCTCCTTTCAGTGCATAAGGGAGTGACTGGGAGAAGACAGGAGCAGGATCTGATTTCCTAGAAGATGGGTGAAGGCTTTCTTCCATCTGTCTCCATGTGTATAGAGTCACAACTTGCAGAAGGGGACAGTTAAAGACCAAGACATAGGCTTTTTTAAAGGACTCCTGGCCTCATAAAGAGTTGGAATTTATTGTTCTTTTCTACCCTAGCTCTCTGTTGTCCTTCCACAGAAGGAACATTATTTCTCATGTCCCGGTTCCCTGGGCAAAGGGTCCAAGCACACCAGGGCAGGGCAAGTTGCTCTGGACAGTTTAGAGAGTTTTGTCCTTTCCCACCATTGCACAGCACACACCAGAACAGTGCCCACCTGAATCCCTCCGAGTACACGTGTACATTCAGCATGGAGCCACAACTCTTTCAAGAATCACTCTTGCTACATGCAGAGTTATCAAAAGTCAAAGTCTGGGGAGAATTCAAGGATCCAGTCCAGTCCTTCTCAAACAGTTGCATGAGTGTCAAAAGGCACTGTTTGTCCAGGGTTGGGGTGAGAATTTACCCTAACCCAGGAGGCAGGGACAACACTGATATATCAGTGTTTCCCAATCTTGGTAATGTTGACCTCTAGAGTCAGATAATTCTTAGTTGGGGGTAGTGGGGACTATACTATGCAGTGTAGGATGTTTAGCAGCAACCCTGGTTTCCAGCCACTAGATGCCAGTAGCACACACATCCCACCTCCAGGCATGGCAATCGAAATTGTCTCTAGATGTTGCCAAAGGCCTGGGAAGGACAAAATCACCTCTGGTTGAGAACCTCTGGTCTGTGGGTGAAGCAGCAGATCTTCCACAGTGTGGAAGGAGCCCATGTGGATTCAACTAGGTCACAGCTGCAAAGGCTCTGAGCATAGCAACGTGCAACAGGGAAGAGAGGGGCCATGAAGCCCAGGACAGAAAATATCCTCCAGGAAGCAGGAAAGCAGGTACTCCCAAAAAGCTGTAGCTGGAAAAGATACTTCCTCAGATGCTGTTGGCCTTGGCAGTGAGAAGAGTTGGTAAAAGTCAGTAAGTCCATTCTTCCGGAACTTGCCAGGGAAGACCTAGTCTTCAAATTTGGCTCAAGGGTGTGTTCCCAGGGCTGTGGAATTGTCTCTTTAGGAAGCCTGGGTCACATCTGTGCTTTCTGAAGCCAAAGTCTAGTTTTTTCTCCCAGGGTGTGGTAGGGTGAGGGAAAGAACAGCCACTTCCATGGCCTACTTAGTGTTCTACCTTATTCCTTGCCCAGCCTGCCCCCCAACCCCAAATTCCACATGAATTGTCATTTTTAAAAATCCATAAAATTAAAAGCTGTAAGAGGGCAAAATGGGCAGGCTCAGCTGTTTAGAAAAGAGAAAAAGAAGAATCTGGACTAGAGAAAGAAGGCATAATATGGGTGAAGAGGAGATGGGGTGTGTGAGCTGAGAGCTTTACCAAACAAATTTTTTAAAAACACATAGACACACATCAAAAAAGTCCAGAACTAAGCTCAGTAAGTAGAGCTCCTTCATCAATGTTCTAGCACCACATCTTTCTGTTCTGTTTTGGTTTGTAAAGAAATAATTACAAATTATTTTAAAAGCATTCCCAAATAATTCCAATATATCAAAAACTTTTTCATATCGATGAGAAGCTACAACCACCATGTCTCTTTAGGGTAGGAGAAAAGTACGTTGCAGTTAAAAACAAAAAGCTTTCTTTGCAAAAGAAAAAAAGTTTTTTTGATCTCCTTGAATGTAGCACACAAGAAAAGTGATAGTTCCCCCAGGCTCCATCAGCAACGGAGAAATAGCAAAGGGCAGGAACATAGAGCTTTCTTTTTCCAGGCCCAGGCCTGTGAAAAACGATGGCTAAGTGTTAGTCCTTAGCAGGGCCGACGGATGGTCTCCATTCCTGGTTAACCCTCTGGAATCTGGGAGCAAGAGTATCTCCAAGAATTCATTTCTATTCAGTAAAGATGGGGAGGGGAATCTCCTAAAGAAGGCACAAGCCAGAGAGGAGACAAGACAAACATGAGAACTTGTCTGACTTCAGGCTGGGCTGAGCTGCTATCTGCCAGCACAGCCCTCCCTGCCCCCCAGCATGTGGTTCTTACCCACTGTTACTTGTTGAACTGGAAAGAATAGACCCCATGCTCTGAGGGTGCGTCCACTGCCACTTGGTTCTGTTGGCCGCTGCTCTCCTGTGCCATAGCCAAGGAGGGGAGTCATCTTACGCATTCCTTTCCTCACCTCCCACTACACCAAAGCCCACCCTACATCGAGCACCCTCCCAAACCTACCCACTCTCCACACTCATGTGTGAGTGTTTCCACCCACACCACCACTTCCCCAACCTTCCTAGCAGCCTGTCCTCTTCCCAAGACACATTAGTCAATACAAGCCAGCATCCTGGTATTAACTACTGGCTGGCCAAATGTAAGGAAGGGCCTCATTCATGAACTCAGACCAAGTCCTTCTTTCCTACATCTGTTGTTGTTTTTTAAATGTGGAACGCTTCACAAATTTGCGTGTCATCCTTGCACAGGGGCCATAATCTTCTCTGTATCGTTCCAATTTTAGTATGCATGCTGCCTAAGCGAGCACATCCTTCCTACGTTCTTCATATACCTACCAGCTATTTGTGAACACAGAATCAGCATCATTGTGAGAGGAAGATCTTGATCGGGGGAAACCTGCCTCCGTTCATTTTCCTAACCTCAATCCAAAGAAATGATAACACCCTTACCTCGACTGAAACACTGGAAGAAGGCACAGGGGTGTACTGGGAGATGTAAGCTCCTTGCATAGCTGCAGCCGTCGGCATATACTAGAAAGAGAAACAACGGGCTTACAGCAGTGATTCTTGGCTACATTTGAAGCAGCTGGGGGGCTTTAAAAATACTGATGCCTGTGTTCTACCCCAGAGATTCTAATTTAGTTGATCTGAGCATTATCTTCTTAAATGCAATTCAGGTGGTTCTAAAGTACACTGTTAGGGAGACATCTCCCTATACGGCTTATTTTCCTCCTCTTTCCCGACTTCCTTCTGCTTTTCCTCAACACGCTTCCTTCTCTATCCTCGAGCCCTTTCTATGCAAAAAGGAATACAGTAGGCCTAAAAGAAACCTAATTAAGAAACCTCCATCCTTTCAGGTACTATTTTGATGAGGATTCCTAGGACACATGTGTATCTTAAACTAATATGCAGACAGCAGCACTATTTATGAGGTGCATGAGTAGGAATCAGTTAAAACGGGTGGGCTGGGGAGCAGAATGGCTGTATTCCTGGCTCATGGAGCACTACCATTGTAGTTTATGTCCTGTTCTGAGTGTGCCCTGGATGACACTGAAGTAATTCCATCGTTATTCATAAGTTACTTATGCTGAAGAGTATTACATAGGTATGCCGTGCTCATTCAGAGAGTTTACAATCAGAAATATCCTGCTTTACCGTGCCTGTGCTGCTGAGGGAGAGGTGGCCCAGTTGCTGGGTAAGGGGTCCCATCATGGAGGCAGGCTGGAGAGAAATGGGATGGTCCATCCCTGGTGTCAGAACTGAACCCTAGAGACAGCAACAAAGGACAGGGTTAGCTGCAGCATCCTGTGAGGCTGCCTAAAGCAGTGATTGGTGGCTGTCAGGACCACTGGAGACAGGCATTTAAGAATCCTGAGAAATGGTAAGTGAGCAGCAACCCAGCTATGCAAAAGAATAGGAACTCTGCCTGTCGGTGTGGAAGGACCCTCGTCTAAGAATAACAAGCTTAGGTCTTACTGCTGGGTTGCACAAGGGTCTGAGCCAGAACTCACACCCACATCTCCTGGCATCAAAAGCCATTTTTTTTTTTCTTTATCTTTTTCTTTTTTGAGACGGAGTTTCACTCTTGTTGCCCAGACTGGAGTGCAACGGCACAATCTCAGCTCGCTGCAACCTCCGCCTCCTGCGTTTAAGCGATTCTCCTGTCTCAGCCTCCTGAGTAGCTGGGATTACAGGTGCCTGCCACTACACCTGGCTAATTTTTGGTATTTTTAGTAGAGGTGGGGTTTCATCATGTTGGCCAGGCTGGTCTCGAACTGCTGACCTCAGGTGATTCGCCTGCCTTGGCCTCCCAATGTGCTGGGATTACAGGCGTGAGCCACCGCACCCGGTCAGGTTTATCTTTACATCAAATTGCCTCTTTGGCTTCTGCCCACTTCTGAACACTCACTGAAGGCTGCATGAGGTATGAATGGTGGTGCATCCAAGATGGGTTAGGTACTTGTAGAGGAGATGTCTGAGTCACTCTCTAAAACAAGCAAAAACAAAAAATGTTAATTGCCTGGAAACTATTGTTCAGACCCAAGGATCTAATAATATTCAACAAAGCCCAGAAAAGTTGGCATGCCCCACTCAAAATAGAAACATTAAGAAAACTGTTTTTAAAATATTAGCAACTCTTAAAACTCAATAAATAATCCAGTTTAAAAAAGAGCAAAGAGGAGTTCAAAATTACAGTGAGCTATGATTCTGACACTACACTCCAGCCTGGGCAACGAGTGAGACCCTGTCACTAAAAAAATTAGAAAAAAAAAAAAAGGTTTGGAAAGATATCTCTCTAAGAAGATATACAAATAGCCAATGAGTACATGAAAGAGGCTCAAATGCAAATCACAACCACAATGGGATACCACTTCATACCTATTAGGATGGCTACAATTATTATTTCTATTTTTTGAGATAGGGTCTTGCTCTGTTGCCCAGGCTGGAGTGCAGCAGCGGGACTACAGGTGTGCATCACCACACCTGGCTACTTTTGAGACAGGGTCTTGCTCTGTTGCCCAGGCTGGAGTGCAGTGGCAGGATCTTGGCTCACTGCAAGCTCCGCCTCCTGGGTTCACACCTTTCTCCCGCCTCAGCCTCCTGAGTAGCTGGGGCTACAGGTGCCCGCCACCATGCTTGGCTAATTTTGTTTTTGTATTTTCAGTAGAGACAGGGTTTCACCATGTTAACCAGGATGGTCTCGATCTCCTGACCTTGTGAGACGCTCGCCTCGGCCTCCCAAAGCGCTGGGATTACAGGGGTGAGCCACTGCACCCAGCCCACACCTGGTTATTTTTTGTATTTTTTGTAGAGACGGGGTTTCACCATGTTGCTCAGGCTGGTCTTGAACCCCTCAGCTCAAGTGACCTGCCCACCTCCGCCTCCCACAGTGCTGGGATTACAGGTGTGAGCCACAGTGCCAGGCCAGCATGGCTACAATTATAAGGACAGAATAACAAGTGTTTTACACTGCCACTGGTGGAAATGTAAAATGGTGCAGCTACTCTGGAAAACGCTTTGGCAGTTCCTCAAAAAGTTAAATACAGAGTTACTATATAGCCCATCAATTCCACTCCTAGGTATATACCCAAGTGAAATGAAAACATATGTCCACACAAAAACTTGTATATCAATGTTTATAGCAGCATTATTCCTAGTAGCCAAAAGGAAACAACTCAAATGATGACCAATTGATAACTGGATGGACAAAATGTGGTATAGCCATATAATGGAATATTATTCAGCCATAAAAAGAATGAAGTACTGATAAATGCTACAACATGGATACATCTTGAAAACATACTAAGTGGCCGGGCGCGGTGGCTCAAGCCTGTAATCCCAGCACTTTGGGAGGCCGAGACGGGCGGATCACGAGGTCAGAAGATCGAGACCATCCTGGCTAACACAGTGAAACCCTGTCTCTACTAAAAATACAAGAAAATTAGCCGGGCGTGGTGGCAGGCGCCTGTAGTCCCAGCTACTCGGGAGGCTGAGGCAGGAGAATGGCGTAAACCCGGGAGGCGGAGCTTGCAGTGAGCCGAGATCGCGCCACTGCACTCCAGCCTGGGGCACAGAGCAAGACTCCGTCTCAAAAAAAAAAAAAAGAAAAGAAAAGAAAAGAAAAGAAAACATACTAAGTGAAAGAAGCCAGACACACAAAAAAATTGTTACTTATGTGTAATCACACAATCATACAATTTTCTGAGCTTTGCCTACTATATCCAGAATAGGCAAATCTATAGACACAGAAGGTATATTATGGGTTGCAAGGATATTTCAATTCAAACTGGATTTGAAATAATCCAGTAAGTTAGATTATTTAATAATTTGGTGCTAGGCCAACTGGTTAACACTCTGAAAGAAAACAGACTCCTTATCTTATGCCATACACAAAGATAAATTCCTGATGATTACATATTTAAACGTAAATATAAAACATAAAATCTTTGAGACCAGATACACAGTATAGAGACAGAGAATACTTTTTAAAATTAAGACAAGAAACTTGCCGGGCGCAGTGGCTCACCCTTGTAATCCCAGCACTTTGGGAGGCCGAGGTGGGTGAATCACCTGAGGTCGGGAGTTCGAGACCAGCCTGATCAACATGGAGAAACCCCGTCTCTACTAAAAATACAAAATTAGCCGGGCATGGTGGCATATGCCTGTAATCCCAGCTACTTGGGAGGCTGAGGCAGGAGAATCACTTGAACCCGGGAGGCGGAGGTTGCAGTAAGCTGAGATTGGGCCATTGTACTCCAGCCTGGGCAACAAGAGTGAATTATTTAATAATTTGGTGCTAGGCCAACTGGTTAACACTCTGAAAGAAAACAGACTCCTTATCTTATGCCATACACAAAGATAAATTCCTGATGATTACATATTTAAACGAGAAATATAAACAATATAAAACTTTTGAGACCAGATACACAGTATAGAGACAGAGAATACTTTTTAAAATTAAGACAAGAAACTTGCCGGGCGCAGTGGCTCACCTCATCCCAGCACTTAAAGGAGGCCGAGGTGGTGAATCACCTGAGGCTGAGCCCGAGACCAGCCTGATCAACATGGAGAAACCTCTGCCTCTACTAAAACACAAATGGGCATGGTGGGCATATGCCTGTAATCCCAGCTACTTGGGAGGCTGAGGCAGGAGAATCACTTGAACCCGGGAGGCGGAGGCTGCAGTAAGCTGAGATTGGGCCATTGTGGCTCTCCAGCCTGGGCAACAAGAGCAAAACTGCCTCAAAAAAAAAAAAAAAAAAAAAAAAAAGACAAAAGTTATTTATTTATTTTTTTGAGACAGAGTCTGGCTCTGTCTCCCAGGCTGTAGTGCAGTGGCACGATCTCGGCTCACTGCAAGCTCCGCCTCCTGGGTTCACACCATTCTCCTGCCTCAGCCTCCCCAGCAGCTGAGACTACAGGTGCCCACCACCACACCCGGCTAATTTTTTGTATTTTTAGTAGAGATGGGGTTTCACCATGTTAGCCAGGATGGTCTCCCGGGTTCACGCCATTCTCCTGCCTCAGCCTCTCCAGCAGCTGGGACTACAGGCGCCCGCCACCACGCCCGGCTAATTTTTTGTATTTTTAGCAGAGACAGGGTTTCACCGTGTTAGCCAGGATGGTCTTGATCTCCTGACCTTGTGATCCACCCGCCTCGGCCTCCCAAAGTGCTGGGATCACAGGCGTGAGCCACCGTGCCCAGTCTCAAAAATTATTTATAAAAGAAAAAGACAAATTTAACTATATACAAATTTTAAACTTTTTTTTTTTTTTTTTGAGACATGATCTTACTCTGTTGCACAGGATGGAGTACACTGGCACGATCACAGCTCACTGAAACCTCAATCTCTGGGCTCAAGCAATTCTCCCACCTCAGCCTCCTGAGTTGCTGGGATTATAGGCACGCACCACCACGCCTGGCTAATTTTCATATTTTTTGTAGAGATGGGGGTTTTGCCATGTTGCCCAGGCTGGTCTCGAACTCCTGAGCTCAACTGATCTGCCTGCCTCTGCCTCCCAAACTGCTGGGATTTCAGGCATGAGCCACCATACCTGGCCGAATTTTAAACTTTTATATGGCAAAAACTAGTGATTCCCACAGTATGGTCCCTGGACCAGCAGCAGTAGCAGCAGCATCACCTGGGAACTTGTTGGACGTGCAAATTCTTGCCTTCCACCCATCTTACTGAACCAGAAACTCTGGGTGTGATGCCCACCAACCCAGGTTTCAATGAGTTTTCCACGTGATTCTGATACATCACTAAAGTTTGAGGACCACAAAGTCAACAGCCAAAAAATAAAATTGGAAAAAAAATTTGTAACAAAGATAACATTTAGAAGATTAATACTTATATAGAGTTTTTATAAGCTGATGAGAAAAGAACAAATAACCAAATAGAAACATGGGCGAAGCATATGAATAGCAATCAGACAGAAGCAAATCCAACTATGACAAATGAAATGATTAAATTCACCTCTAGTAAGGGACATGCAAATTAAAATAACAATGTACTTTACATTCATCAAGACAGGAACAATTTTTTTTTTTTTTTTTTTTTTTTTGAGACAGAGTTTCACTCTTGTCACCCAGGCTGGAGTGCAGTGGCACGATCTTGGCTTACTGCAACTTCCGCCTACCGGGTTCAAGTGATTCTCCAGCCTCAGCCTCCCGAGTAGCTGGGATTACAGGTGCCCGCCACCATGCCCAGCTAATTTCTGTGTTTTTAGTAGAGACTAGGTTTCACCATGTTGGCCAGGCTGGTCTCGAACTCCTGACCTCAGGTGATCCACCTGCCTCAGCCTCCCAAAGTGCTGGGATTACAGGTGTGAGCCACCGCGCCCAGCAAGACAGGAACAATTTTAAAAGAGCAGTAGCACCTATGCCTGAAGGGAAACGGGCACTTTCATACAGGGTTGGTGGAAATGTGAGGTGACAGCCTTTGTGGAAAGCAATCTGGCAACATCTATAAAACTGAAAATCCATACAGCATTCAACCTAGCAATCCAACTCCTGGGACTCTAGCCCCCAGAAATAGAAGCACGCATATGTAAAAATAGAGCACGAGGGTGTTTAGTGGAGCATTATTGATAGCAGCAAAAAAACGAATCTAAGTGAATGCCCCTATTTGGTATAGCTAAAGAATTCTGGCCTATCTGCAGCATGAAATATAATGCAACCATTAAAAAAGATAAAATTAGAGCAGAGGATCTCAACAATAGCTGCAACAGGATCACCTGGAGGGCTTGTTAAAACCCAGATCACGGCTGGGCATGGTGCAGCACTTTGGGAGGCTGAGGAGGGCGGATCACCTGAGGTCAGGAGTTTGAGACCAGCCCAGCCAACATGACGAAACCCCATCTCTACTAAAAAGAACAAAAATTAGCTGGGCATGGTGGCGCATGTCTGTAATCCCAGTTACTCCAGAGGCTAAGACGGGAGAATCGCCTGAACCCAGGAGGCGGAGGTTGCCGTGAGCGGAGATGGCGTCACTGCATTCCAGCCTGGGCAACAGAACTAGATGCCATCTGAAAACAAACAAACAAACAAAAACCCAGATCACTGGGCCCCATCCTCAGAGTTTGTAATTCAGTAGATTTGGAGGGGAGTCCAAAATTTCTGTTTCTAAAAATTCTCAGATGATACTGATGCTGCTGGTTCAGGGACCATACTTTTGAGAATCACTGCTGTAGGATACTGTTAAGTGAGATGAGTGAATGTAAAAATATATTTAATATGGTCCAATTTTTGTAAAATAAACAACTCCCCAAATGCTACACATGTGTGTATCATCATGAAAAATATGACAAATGCTACACAGTAGGACATTAACATGAGTTTACTGGAGGAGGTGGAGGGGCAGTAAGAGGACACCATTAAAACTATATACCATATATATGGCCACACACACAGATCATCTTTTACGCTGTTATGTAAAATTGTGTGTCATATGATTAAAAGAAAAAACAAGTAGTTCCTAGCCTTATATTACTTCACTTAAAGCACAACAGTAGGGAAAACCACCACACCCTTTTTCAGGCATGAACATACCTGATATGAAGACACAGGAGAGGAAAGGTATGGGGAGAGTGCAGACTGAGCAAGCATCCTGTTGGGGGTGATGTTATAAGGGGCTGGGTAAAACCTGTGGGAAGGAACCTCAATCAGTACTGAGTCACAGGAAACCACAAGGGAAGGGCCCCAACTGATAGGCACAGCCAACATTCCCTTGACTTTCAAATAGAGAGAATTAAGATGAAACATTTGAGTGTCTGGACACAGGCCATTATCATTTTCAGGTGACTTGATTATATAAAACAACCTTACCCATTCTGAAGAGCTGTTGTGGGGTCATAGGTCAAGGCCATGCCGCCCTATAAAGAAATAACAGTGTTCACATTGTGAGCCCTTGGGTGAGAACAGGAGCCGGTCCAGAATGTCCAAGGCTGGGAATGTTTTAGTTTAACAAATTAAAGCCTGGACAAGTCCCACTACAGCTGTTTCAGAGTTTTTCTGATTCTGCAGGCCACAAAGCCCCACTCGAGAACATACTGGCAGTATGTTAACAGCCAGCATCTCTCAATTACATACTGTAGCTCTCAAGCTTTCCACCTAAGCTCACAGAAATCATGCCATGATCATTTCCATTCCACTTTAATGTCGTCAGTACTCCTGTCTCCTCAGAGGTCCTCTTACCATGTCTCCATTCCTTGGCCAAGCCCGTCCATTTTGCACAAATTTTCCTTGGTTCTGTCGTTTCTTTGGCCCCCCATCAGCAAATTTGCAAAGCAAGGGATCAGATGGGGCTGCCAAGAGAGAAGGGAAATGGGCAGCTGAGTCCCACCTCATGTGGCCCAGGCACACTCATGCAAAGCTGCTCCAGAATCTTCACTGGAAGTAACAACCTGTGGCCCTCTCAGCCTGAGCCCCAGATGCCTCACCTGGTACTCCAGGGGGTGTCTTAATATATTTTCCATTAAAGTGGGTGATGATGGCTTCACACTTCTCTGTGGACTCCATCCTAAGGAGCATAAGAGGGGTTAGGCTCTAGCTTCTCCAGGATCTGTGCCCTCCACACATTGAAAGAGAAAGCAAAGCTCTAAGTTCCCAGCCCCACAATTGCTCCAAATGTTATGACTACAGAAACACAGAGTGCCACACAGATTCAAGGTTCTTGACGAGGTAACCCCAGCTTGTAATGAAGGTTCTCTCAGCTGGTCCCCGTATGGGATCCTCATAGGAATGATAGTCTTCAGACTATTAACATGGGCCCTCTCTTGTGTCTGCCATATAAATAAGAATACAAGAAATAGAGGCCGTTACCATTATTTTTTATTAGAAAATTCTGAATGAAAATTGTTCCTTTAATTTGATAAAATTGTACAAGCTAACAATTTGCCAATATTTATTTTTTGCTTCTTGTTGTAATTAAGGTCAAGGTCTAATTAGCTATTGATGATATCATTAAGATTTCATGAATCTGTGGAAGGAAAAAGCAATAAGAAAGAGTTCATGGCCCATAGTGATAGAAAAAGGAATGCTGGAATCTACTGAGTTAGTTTCTTGTTGAAGAGAGGAATAAGGAATCAGAAGACTGAGATTCCAGCACCAGTCGCCACCCAGAGCTCTGTGAGTGAGGACACTCACAAAAAGCCTCTGATTGGCCGCATGTGGTGGCTCATGCCTGTAATCCCAGCACTTTGGGAGACCGAGGCAGATCACTTGAGGTCAGGAGTTTGAGACCAGCCTGGACAACATGAAGAAACCCTGTTTCTACTAAAAATACAAAAATTAGCCTGGAGTGGTGGCACGTGCCTGTAATCCCAGTTACTCGGGAGGCAGAGGTGAGAGAATCGCTTGAACCTGGGAGGCGGAGGTTGCAGTGAGCCAAGATTGCGCCATTGCACTCCAGCCTGGGCAACAGGGTGAGAATCCATGTCAAAAAAAAAAAAGGCCAGGCACGGTGGCTCACACCTGTAATCCTAGCACTTTGGGAGGCCGAGGCAGGCGGATCACGAGGCCAGGAGATCAAGACCATCCTGGCCAACATGGTGAAACTCCGTCTCTACTAAAAATAAAAAAAAAAAATTAGCTGAGCATGGTGGTGCGTGCCAGTAGTCCCAGCTACTCGGGAGGTTGAGGCAGAAGAATTGCTTGACCCCGGGAGGCAGAGGCTGCAGTAAGTTGAGATCACACCACTCCACTCCAGCCTGGGTGACAGAGCAAGACTCTGTCTCAAAAACAACAACAAAAAACAAAACAAAACAAAAAACCCCCCCCGATCCACTCCTTATTTGTGCTTTAGAGATAACATCCATCTACCCTACCACATGGTGTTGTGTAGATCAAAGGAGATAATGTATATAAATGTGTTCTAAAAATTATAAGGGACTATATAGAATAAGGAACAGTATTTTCACCTATTTCCATATTTAAAGTAACTCAGTATATTTAACCTATTTCCATATTTAAAGTAAGACTCACATTTTCTGTGCCAGTGACCCCCAGAAATATGAACCATTTCTATAAAAGTTTTTTTTTTTTTTTTTTTTTTGAGATGGAGTCTCGCTCTGTCGCCCAGGCTGGAGTGCAGTGGTGCAATCTCAGCTCACTGTAAGCTCAGCCTCCCGGGTTCATGCCATTCTCCTGCCTCAGCCTCCTGAGTAGCTGGGATCACAGGTGTCCGTCACCACACCCGGCTAACTTTTTCGTATTTTTAGTAGAGATGGGGTTTCACCGTGTTAGCCAGAATGGTCTCAATCTCCTGACCTCGTGATCCGCCCACCTTGGCCTCCCAAAGTGCTGGGATTACAGGCGTGAGCCACTGCGCCCGGCCAAAAGAAGATACTTTTAAAAGTCCTCAAATTGAGCCTTTTAGAGAAAACCACACATTAGGTATCGTAGAGCTGTGGTGTTCTGTTGGGTACTTCTACTCCTTACAGTCTTTCCAAAGGGTAAGCAGGCCGTGGAGCATTTCAGAACCTCAACTTTCTCAAAAACTGTTAAATCTGATCTTCCTGAGGGAGAGCTCCTGATGGCTAATGATCAAGGCTGAAGTCCCCTCTTACAATAGCTCCTCTCAAAATGGTTTTCAATTCTTTAGAAACGACAGAGTTGGGGGACTTTAGCAAGTTGTCAATTCACACATAAAAAATCAATTTTGATGACAGAACACCTTGGTTCTTGGCATATAATTCAGAAGAATTTTTTTGTTTGTTTTTTTAGATGGAGTCTCGCTCTGTCGCCCAGGCTGGAGGGCAATGGTGCAATCTCAGCTCACTGCAACCTCCTCCTCCCAGGTTCAAGCGATTCTCCTACCTCAGCGCCTGAGTAGCTGGGATTACAGGCATATGCCACTACGTCTGGCTAATTTCTGTACTTTTAGTAGAGATGGGGTTTCACCATGTTGTCCAGGCTGGTCTCAAACTCCTGGCCTCAAGTGATCCGCCTGCATTGGCCTCCCGAAGTGCTGGGATTACAGGCACAAGACACCATGCCTGACCAGAAGAAATTTTTTAAATTCCTGTTTTAATAAAATTCTTTCCATTCCCATCTACTTACTTATGAGAACAAGTTTTCTCAGCATGAAAACAAAAAGCAGGAACAGAACTGGCATTAAACTCTCCCTTGTTATAGTAATAATATTAATTTATGCTTACCTGACCTAATTAGAAAAATCTAAACAAAACAAAACCTATCCATGTCATAGATGCTTCTGCATTTGCAATAAAATTTACTTCTATAAAATAATTTGGCCAGGCATGGTGGCTCACCTCTGTAATCCCAGCACTTTGGGAGGCCAAGGTGGGTGGATCACTTGAGGCCAGGAGTTCGAGACCAGCCTGGCCAACCTGGTGAAACTCATCTCTACTAAAAATACAAAAATTAGCTGGGCGTGGTGGCATGCACCTGTAATCCCAGCTACTTGGGAGGCTGAGGCACAAGAATCGCCTGAACCCGGGAGGCGGAGGTTACAGTGAGCTGAGATTGCACCATTGTACTCCAGCCTCGGCAACAGAGCGAGATGCCGTCTCAAAAAAAAAAAAAAAGGCCAGGCACAGTGGCTCATGTTTAAATCCCAGCACTTTGGGAGGCTGAGGCGGGAGGACTGCTTGAGCACAGGCATTCAAGACCAGCCTGGGCAAAACAGTGAGACCCCCATCTCTACAAAAAAATTAAGAAATTAGGCTGGGTGCAGTGGCCCACACCTGTAATCCTAGCACTTTGGGAGGCCGAGGCGGGTGGATTGCCTGAGCTCAGCTCAGGAGTTTGAGACCAGCCTGGGCAACACGGTAAAACCCAGTCTCTACTAAACTACAAAAAATTAGCTGGGCGTGGCAGCATGTGCCAGTAGTCCCAGCTACTTGGGAGGTTGAGGCAGGAAAATTGCTTGAACCTGGGAGGCAGAGGTTGCTGTGAGCCAAAATTGCACCACTGCACTCCAGCCTGGGCGACAGAACGAAACTCCATCTCCAAAAAAAAATAAATAAAAAAAAATAAAAAATTTGCTGCCCTCACCATACCCCACCAAAAAACTTAGCTGGGCATGGTGGTAGGGGCCTATAGTTCCAGATACTTAGGAAGTGGAGGTGTGAGGATCACTTGAGCCCAGAAGGTCAAGACTGTGATGAGCCAGGATCGTACCACTGCACTCTAGCCTGCACAACCAAGTGAGACCCTGTCTCAATGATAATAATTTTGTATGAACATTATTTTTTATTTTATTTTATTTTATTTTATTTTATTTTATTTTATTTTATTTTATTTTATTTTATTTTATTTTTTTGAGACAGAGTTTCGCTCTTTTTGCCCAGGCTGGAGTGCAATGGCGCGATCTCGGCTCACCGCAACCTCCGCCTCCCGGGTTCAAGCGATTCTCCTGCCTCAGCCTCCCGAGTAGCTGGGATTACAGGCATGTGCCACCACCCCGGCTAATTTTGTATTTTTAGTAGAGACGGGGTTTCTCCATGTTGGTCAGGCTGGTCTTGAACTCCCGACCTCAGGTGATCCACCTGCCTCGGCCTCCCAAAGTGCTGGATTACAAGCGTGAGCCACCGCACCCGGTGAACATTTTATTTTATTTATTTATTTATTTATTTTGAGACGGAGTTTTGCTCTTGTTGTCTAGGTTGGAGTGCAGTGGTGCAATCTCGGCTCACTGCAACCTCCGCCTCCCGGGTTCAAATGATTCTCTTGCCTCATCCTCCTGAGTAGCTGGGATTACAGGCGCCCGCCACCATGCCCAGCTAATTTTTGTATTTTTAGTAGAGATGGGGTTTCGCCATGTTGACCAGGCTGGTCTTGAACTCCTGACCTCAAGTGATCTGCCCACCTCAGCCTCCCAAAGTGCTGGGATTACACAGGCATGAGCCACCACGCCTGGCCAAAATTTTTAATTTATATATATATTTTTGTGGCAGAGAAGTATGACAAGATGATCCATAAAGGCTTTAATTATAAAAATATTTTACACTAGAATACAATTCTATAAAGAAATGGCATAGAAACTAAATTCTATAGAGAAATGGAATAGAAACACAAGATCAAGAAGAAAAAATGAATATTATAAGAATGATATGAGATTTATGACTATAGTAGTCCCCCCTTATCCTCAGGAGATACATTCCAAGGCCCCTAGTGGATGCCTGAAACCATGGATAGTACCAAACCCTAGATATACTATGCTTTTTCATCTGATAGCCATGATGACTACTAAGTGACTAATGGGCGGGTAGCATTTGCAGTGTGAATACTTTGGACAAAGGGTGGGATGGAGCGGACAACATGAAATTTTTTATTTATGTTTTTGGGACAGAATCTCACCGTGTCACCCATGTTAGAGTACAGTGGTGCGATCTCGGCTCACTGCAACCTCTGCCTCTCAGGTTCAAGCAATTCTACTGCCTCAGCCTCCTGAGTAGCTGGGACTACAGGTGCACACCACCACGCCTGGCTAATTTTTGTATTTTTAATAGAGATGGGGTTTTACCATGTTGACCAGGCTGGTCTTGACCCCCTGATGTCAAGTGATCTGCTCGCCTCAGCCTCCCAAAGTGTTGAGATTACAGGCGTGAACCACTGAGCCCAGCCTGAAATTTAATCATGCTACTCAGAATGGCATACGATTTTAAAACATTTTAATTGTTTATTTCTGGAATTTTCCATTTAATATTTTCAGTTGACTGTGGGTAACTGAAACCATAGAAAGTAAAACCATAAATAAGGGGGGACCACTCCTTTTTTTTTTTTTTTTTTTTTTGAGATGGAGTTTTGCTCTTGTCACCCAAGCTGGAGTGCAATGGCACGATCTCAGCTCACCGTAACCTCCGCCTCCCAGGTTCAAGTGATTCTCCTGCCTCAGCCTCCTGAGTAGCTGGGATTACAGGCATGCGCCACCATGCCCAGCTAATTTTGTATTTTTAGTAGAGACGGGGTTTTTCCACGTTGGTCAGACTGGTCTAGAACTCCCGACCTCAGGTGATCCGCCCGCCTCAGCTTCCCAAAGTGTTGGGATTACAGGCATGAGCCACTACACCCAGCCGAGAGTACTGTATTAAAAAAAAAAAAAATAGCACTTTGTTTTTTGTTTTTTTTTTGGGGGGGAGGGGTGTAGGGGTAAAGGGGACTAGGAAGTGGCTGGGGGTCCTATGGGCCCATAGCTCCATCCCCAGGGCAAGGCCCACCCCATCTGCCTCCAGCCCTACCCATGCTCCTGTATTGATTTATTGAGACAGGATCTCTCACTCTGTAACCTAGGCCAGAGTGCAGTGGTGTGATCACAGTTGACTGCAGTTTTGACCTCCTGGGCTCAGGTGATCCTCCCATCTTAGCCTCCCAGGTAGCTGGGACTACAGGCATGTGCCACCATGCTCGGCTAATTTTTTTGTTTGTTTTGTTTTTATAGAGATGGGGTTTCACATGTTGCCCAGGCTGGTCTTGAACTCCTGAGCTCAAGCAATCTGCCCGCCTCAGCCTCCAAAAGTCCGGTTGGTTTTTTTTGTTTGTTTGTTTGTTTTTTTGAGATGAGTCTCACTCTGTCAGCTAGGCTGAAGTGCATGTTGCCCAGGCTGGAGTGCAGTGGCACGATTTCAGCTCACTGCAAGCTGCGCCTCCCGGGTTCACACCATTCTCCAGCATCAACCTCCCGAGTAAGCTGGGACTACAGGCACCCGCCGCCATGCCCGGCTAATTTCTTTGTATTTTTAGTAGAGACGGGGTTTCACTGTGTTAGCCAGGATGCTCTTGATGTCCTGACCTCATGATCCGCCCTCCTCAGCCTCCCAAAGTGCTGGGGTTACAGGCGTGAGTGAGCCACTGCATCTGGACAAAGTCAGGTATTTTTTAAATGAATGATTTGTGTATCAGATTGCTATGTATTTAGATCTCATTTGAATACATTTTTAAATGAGGTAACAGTTTTATTTTAAATGCCAATATTTATAATTTGCTGGAAATCATACTTTGCATGAATCTGAACATATGAAGAAAACTTGTAGACATTAACATAGAAATATACAAGAGATTTCATAGTTTTTCAAAAGTCTCTAAAACCACGGTTCCTAAACTGTGCTCTCAGGCACTGTGGGTGGCTGTGGTGAACTCAGAGGGGCACAATGAAGGTTATTGTAACTTTTTGAAGAAAAATAGCAATATCTGTTGGAGAATGTGTACACTACTAGCTCAAAATTGTTTACTGTTTCAACATTAGTTCCCCCTACAATCCTTTTGATAGATAACATCATATTTTCACAAAGCTGGGTTTAAATAGTTGCTATGACAAAAGCAAATACCATAAGAAAACCAATATGTAACAGGAAATGAGTGTGTAGGTGTCCATTCTGATACCAAATTTTGATAAGTTGTGCAATTCCAACAGGCACATATTCCATTAGTAAGGATAGTTAGAATGAAATAAAGACATTCTCTCTTTCAATATTTGTGTATTATTTTTTCAAACAGCTACAAAGTTGTTAAAGCATAAACACTTCTTAAGCTGTGTGGACCATGAAGTTATTGCTGTCAGGAAATGTTTTTTTAAAAGTTGTGTGGACTGGCCGGGCGCGGTGGCTCAAGCCTGTAATCCCAGCACTTTGGGAGGCGGAGACGGGTGGATCACGAGGTCAGGAGATCGAGACCATCCTGGCTAACACAGTGAAACCCCGTCTCTACTAAATATTACAAAAAACTAGCCGGGCGAGGTGGCGGGTGCCTGTAGTCCCAGCTACTCGGGAGGCTGAGGCAGGAGAATGGCGTAAACCCGGGAGGCGGAGCTTGCAGTGAGCCGAGATCTGGCCACTGCACTCCAGCCTGGGCGACAGAGCAAGGCTCCGTCTCAAAAAAAAAAAAAAAGTGTGGACTGGCTGGGCGTGGTGGCTCATACCTGTAATCCCAGCACTTTGGGAGGCTGAGGTGGGTGGATAACCAGAGGTCAGCAGTTTGAGACCAGCCTGGACAACCTGGTGAATCCCATCTTTACTACAAATACAAAAATTAGCTGCGCATGGTGGCAGGCACCTGTAATCTCAACTACTCAGGAGGCTGAGGCAGGAGAATCACTTGAACCTGAGAGGCGGAGGTTGCAGTGAGCCGAGATTGTGCCATCACACTCCAGCCCAGGCGACAGAGCGAGACTCTGTCTCAAAAAAAAAAAAAAAAAAGAAAAAAAAATTGTGTGGACCATTCAGTTACTTAATAAATTGAACTGTTAGGTATTTATTTTGGTCTAGGGTGAAAAACTATTAAATAACTAAGGGTGCCACAAACTGAGAAAGGTTGAGAACCTCTGCTTTAAGGGAGTATGGAAGCAAAGTAAGTTGGATGGTCCCAAGCCAAGGAACTCTCCTTTAGTTATACCCGGGATTGCCAGCAGGTGGTGCTACTAAGATTGAGTCAGCTGGGGAAGAGGAACTATTTCTTTTCTTCTTTTTTTTTGAGACGGGGTCTGGCTTTGTCGCCCAGGCTGGAGTGCAATGGTGCGATCTCGGCTTACTGTAACCTCTGCCTACCAGGTTCAAGTGATTAGCCTGCCTCAGCCTCCCTAGTAGCTAGGATTACAGGAACCCGCCACCATACCCAGTTAATTTTTGTATTTTTAGTAGAGACAGGGTTTCACCAGGTTGGCCAGGCTGATCTCAAACTCCTGACCTCAGGTGATCCACCCGCCTCAGCCTCCCAAAGTGCTGGGATTACAGGCATGAGCCACTACACCCGGCCAAGAGAAACTATTTCTTGTTCCCAAGGTCTGAAACACTCAGAGTAAGGGGGTGTTCGTGGACCAGACAAGATATTATAAATCTAAAAGGGGTGCTTAGCTCACTTAGTCCAGTCATTTTGAAACTAAAAAAAAAAAAAAAAAAAGTCAAAAGAATCTCCTTTCAAATAAAATCTTAAAATAAATAAAAGCAGAGACATTTCTTAAGTGGGCTAAGGGAGGCTGATGCCCTGCGACAGTGAGGGCAGATACCAGAGCCCAAAGAAGGGCACCCGGGAAAACTGCAGGCATAGGGAAGACTTTGGGAAATTTCCTCATCTGAATCAATCTCCACCTCAGAGAGTGAACCAAGGCTCACAAAGCTCTGATATCACAGATGCAGAATTGTTCTAGAATAGAGATCTGAAAAAGGAAGATCAACTTCATCCTACTGATCTCAAAGCCAGAAGGATCATGGCTCTGCTCTAACACCCACTCCTGTAAGACCCTGGGCAAATCAATTCATACTGAAGAGTTCACTTTCCTCATCCGTAAGATGGAGAATATTTATCTCATAGGGCTGTTGTAAAGATTAAATGAGATAAGATGATAAATAGTAAACTATAAGAATATACAGAATTTTTTACTCTGGGTCTGGATTAAAGGAACAAAGCCTAGCGTAGCAGGAAGTAGTAGGGAGCTCAGCCGAGTGTGGTGGCTCATGCCTGTAATCCCAACTGCTTATGTGGCTGAGGCAGGAGGATCACTTGAGCCCAGATGTTCAAGAGCAGCCTGGGCAACACAGCAAGACCCCATCTTTATTTTAAAAATTTTTTAGGTAGGGGCTAATGGGTTTTTGAGTATTGTAACCTATAATAAAATGAATGAACTTTTTTTTTTTTTTTTCTAGAGACAGAGTCTCACTCTGTTCCCCAGTCTGGAGTGCAGTGGCACGATCTCAGCTCACTGCAACCTCCGCCTCCTAGGTTCAAGCAATTCTCCTGCCTCAGCGTCCCAAGTAGCTGGGATTACAGGCATGCGCCACCACGTCCAGCTAATTTTTGTATTTTTAGTAGAGACGGGGTTTCATCATGTTGGCCAGGCTGGGCTCAAACTCCTGACCTCAGGTGATGTGCCTACCTTGGCCTCCCAAAGTGCTGGGATTACAGGTGTAAGCCACCGCCTGGCCTAAAATGAACTTTTGACTTACCATCAAGTATTTTTTAATAATAGTATAGTATTTTGACCTTGTGTGGGAAAGGCACAGATTTTGTTTTCTGGTGACTCCTAAGTGACATTTGTTATTAACCTCATCATTTCCCCACTCCTGCCATCCTCACCTTGCAAAACCAACACCTCTGCTGGTCCCACTGGTATCTCGAAGGATACGGGTGGAGATAACCTGGCCAAAGGGCTTCAGCATCCCCTCCAGTTCCTGCTCATCCATTGACAGTGGGAGGTTTGAGATGTATAAATTTGTGGGGTCCTGTTCCTGTTGCTATGGAAATAACAATGAGAAAATGAGGCTCACATCTCTTATCCCTCTCCCACCCTCAGCCCGCCTCACAAATGACATTTCAGAAAAGAGACTATAGGAACGGTCCCATATAAACAGAGATTATTCTATTTGTTAACACCCAGTCCCACTACCACGGGTTGTATATTGAGTTCCAAGAGGGAAAAGCACAGATTTAATATTTCTAGTACTATACAAGCCCATCATACAAGTCATAAATGGTGTTTGGCTGTCTCTTTTAGAAACAGGCAGAGCAGCATTCCCGCTCTCCCCAGCAGCCGGTGTGGTGCCCGAGGCTGGATTCCCTCAGACTGCCTTGCTCCTTGGCTGGCTTGTTTGAGCAGCCCCTCCCCACTTCTCTTCCGGCCAGGCCGCACAGAATACTCTAAGTAGGAATGCCTGTTCACTCCCTGATGGAGGAAGAGCAGGAAGAGGGGAGAAGGGAACAGGGAAAGGGCCAGATGTGGAGTTCACTGGGTCACCATGGAGCCCTGAAAGCTACAGTCTCCTAGGACCCTGAAGGCTCCTAAACCTTTGAGCTTTTGCCAGAGGCTTTTCCTCCTGGAAGAAGAGGTAGGAGAGCCCTTCCAGGGGACAGAATGTGCAAAATGGCAATATCATCCAATATTGTATTTTTAAGAATTTAAGCAGTCACACTGCCCTAAACAGTGGTGGTCACCAGCAACCTTAATCCTCTTCTGCCTTTTCCTTTTGTTTTTCTTTTCTTTAACCTTTACAGAAAAGGTGTCTAGCAGGCCTGCCTCACAAGCTCTATGTATAATACTCATAACAGCTTCAGAAAGGCAAAGGGATGACCAGGCGTGGTGGCTCATGCCTGTAATCCCAGCACTTTGGGAGGCCGAGGTGGGTGGATCACAAGGTCAGGAGATCTAGACCATCCTGGCTAACACAGTGAAACCCCATATCTACTAAAAATACAAAAAATTAGCCAGGCGTGGTGGCGGGTGCCTGTAATTCCAGCTACTTGGGAGGTTGAGGCAGGAGAATGGTATGAACCCGGGAAGCGGAGCTTGCAGTGAGCCGAGATTGCGCCACCGCACTCCAGCCTGGGCAACAGAGGGAGACTCTGTCTCAAAATAAGTAAGTAAATAAATAAATAAATTAATTAAATTAAATAGAAAGGCAAGGGGACAATCCCACCTAACAGAAGAAGTGAGAGAAAAGCTTCTAGATTTCTAGTAGTCTAGGTGAAGACAACGGTTTCAGACAGATCTGAGGAGAAGGGACTGTTTCCTCCCTTGATGTGGCTTCCCTCCTGCCTCCCCCAGCCCACTACCCAGCCCCTATGGGGAACAACACTGGGAGGTGGAAAGCATTGTTCTGAAATTCTGAGTTGCACAACTGACTTGTTTAGAGAATGCTGTAAAACCACCACGAGCTGTCTGGTAGGGAAGTGGGCCCAGGGTGAAAAATACAGGGAAAATAGGGAAGCAGGAAGAGTACTGGAAGAGGCCGCCTTACCTTTCTTGCTGCCAATAACTTGGTGAGAGGAACAGAGCTGATAGAGCTACCTGCCACAGACTTTGAATACATCTTCCTCCAGCAGCCAGGGGTGCTCATGGACTGTCTAGAAAGCACTGTGGATAGCCCTTGCCCACTCAATTTCATGTTTCTGAAGCCCTCTGGAAACCTTAGAACTGGAACTTTGGTGCAAACCACAAACTCCTTGGAGGAACAGACATGGGGTAGTACCCTTACCTTTGCCATCTGTGCCTGTACACCACTGGCCTTCAGTGCTGTTACAGCTTTCTGTGCTGCTGAAGGGCTGTCAAAATCTACAAAGCCATAGCCTGGAACAGAGAAACAGCATCACTAGGAAGTGGGAAGTGTAAGGAACATAGGGAGGTCCAGGCTTTTCAGGAGACAGAGGAAGGCTTATGATCCATGGAACATAAATGGGAGGGAGAAAGAGCTACTGAGAGGTTTCAGGTAGTTATCTACATGCTCCTCAAACCCTGAGATGTGATCTAGTTTGTGGCTAAGAATGCCAAGGCAATGAGCTACTCTGGTGTCCCTGCCTTTCTCCCTCCCCCTTAAGAAATCTGAGGTTTCAGGAACTAGGATCTTCTAATAACCCAAAGCCCCCCTATACCTCTAAAAGAATTCGCTCCTCTCTTTTCTTGATATACCCCAGAAATGCTAGGCATGTGGGGAATGTGGCCTCTCCAGGGCAGACCACCAGCCACCTGCTGGAAGAAGCCCCTCACCACCCCAACCTATAGGCCTTTCTCTTCCTTCTACTCTTCCAGCTCTATCTAGAACTGCTCAAACCCCAATAAAACTACTCACCCTCAGAAAATAACACCCACCAAAACACTCCCCAAAACAGGCATTTACATGGCTTTGCTAAGCAGAAGGCAATCTCACCCACTTCTACCACCTCATCTAGGGAAACACAAAGTCCAAAATAAGCTCAGTAGACTCAAAGGTGTTTTGTACAGTCTTCTGGCCTTGGGGCCCTAAACAGCATTTTCAGCTCTAGCTATCTGGTCACCAAATAATCTAAATATCTCCTAATCTTTTAAGCCTAAAAATTTCAGGGACTCCTTGCTGACACTGTAGACTCAGGAATCTCAGCAGTAAAGGGCAGTGGCGAGGGATGACCTCACTTACTGGTGCTCTCCATCACCAAGGACAGTTGTTCTCTCACCTTTGCATTTGTTTGTGGTCTTGTCCAGTATGGCCTTAGTGGAAACAATCTTGCCATATCTAAGGGAGAGGAAAATGCAAAGTAATAATCTGGGGGCAGAGACTAAGAATAGGACAGAGATTCAGACATCTCGACAAATCCATGCCCTTTCCATGGTCCAACTTTTCCTACTCAAGCCTTAATAAAAATAAAAAAGAAATGGGAGCCGGGTGTAATAGCTCACACCTGTAATCCCAGAATTTTGGGAGGCTGAGGCTGGAGGATCACTTGAGGTCAGGAGTTTGAGGCCAGCCTGGCCCAACATCATGAAGCCTCACCTCTACTAAAAATACAAAAATTAGCTGGGCATCACGCCAGTAGTCCCAGCTACTTGGGAGGCTGAGGCAGGAGAATTGCTTGAACCTGGGAGGTGGAAGTTACAGTGAGCCAAGATAGCATCATTGCATTCCAGCCTGGATGACAGAGCGAGACTCCATCTCAAAAAAAGAAAAGAAAGAAATGGGTTAAAAATGCCACATTTAATATAAACCCATCCTCCCCAAAGGTACCTAAAAGAAATAAGGTAACTGTAGTCCTTATAATACCAACAGATTTCTCTCTTCTTTCCCAGCTAAGACTCACACACTAGTTGGAAAGAGATGACTGTCTTTTGGGGAAAGAAGCTTGGCAATGTCCACACAAAAGAGTGTGTAGAGGCAGAGCTCTGGCTGGAATTCCCTGAGGACTAAAAAGAATCCTTGCTATTACTTATTTTCTTTTGGAAAACACCACTGATCCTATGAAAAAAACTATAGACATTTTTCTTCTCTGATACCCTATTCCCATCACCCGTCCACTGACCCCTTTAACTGAAGGTCAACCTGAGCCAAATTGCTTTGGTTCAAATGCTGGTTCTGCCACATTTTAGTTATGTGTGATCTTGAACAAGTCATTTAACCTTTTGGTGTCTCAGCCTCATCATCTGTAAAATGGAGATAGGATTGTTAGGAATGTGAAATGAATAAACACAAATTATTAATGTCTACCACATGGTAAGCACTTAAAAATTTTAATTGCTATTATTATTATACTCAAGGAACCTCAACTATAATACCTCTCTTTGCCTTAGTCTAAGACTTCTATTTCTCACTGTCAAGATTTGAGAGTGTTAGGGAGGGGAGTGGGAACTGTAATATTAAAAAAAATTGTGTGTGTGTGTGTGTATGTGTGTGTCAGGGTCTGGCTCTGTTGCCCAGGCTGGAGTGCAGTGGTGTGAACATGGTTCACTGCAGCCTCGAACTCCTGGGCTCAAGCAATTCTTCTGCCTTAGCCTCCTGAATAGCTGGGACCAAAGATGTGCACCACAATGTCCGGCTAATTTTAAAAATTATTTGTAGAGATAGGATCTTACTATGCTACCCAGGCTGGTCTTTAATTCCTGGATTCAAGCAATCCTGCTGCTTTGGCCTCCAAAAGTGCTGGGATTACAGCTGAGAGCCACCATGCCCAGCTCTAAGAAAATCATCTTATAAACAAAAAAAGTCTAAATTTTGATGATAAGGCCAAAGGGCTGCATATCCTTTCTTCTTCTTCTTTCTTCTTCTTTATTCCTCTCCCTCCTCTCCTTCTCCTTCTCCTCCTTCTTCTTTTTTTCAAGACAGAGTTTTGCTCTTCTTGCCCAGGCTGGAATGCGATGGCACGATCTCAGCTTACTGCACCCTCCGCCTCCCGGGTTCAAGCGATTGTCCTGCCTCAGTCTCCCAAGTAGCTGGGATTATAGGTGCACATCACCACACCCCGCTAATTTTTACATTTTTAGTAGAGACGAGGTTTCGCCATATTGGCCAGTCTGGTCTCAAACTCCTGACCTCAGGTGATCCACCCGCCTCGGCCTCCCAAAGTGCTGGGATTACAGGTGTGAGCCACCACGCTTGGCCAAGTTATAGATATTTGTCCAGTAAAAATGCAAATTATTTCTGTACAGTAGAAAAAATAATTGCAACGGTTAGTGGCTTTACTATCCTATAGGACATAAACCAGTTTTTATCTAGTGTAGCAATCTTATTCCAACATTCTTTCTTCATTTTCTATAGTTCCTCAAATGCTCTTTGAACTCATTTTGCCATCCTGCTGGTTGGTTCCCTCATTAATGAGTTATAAAAATCTTTGACACTTGTTCATTTTATATTTGCATGACAGTTGTGTTTTCTTTTCATTTTTTTTTTTTTTTTTAGATGGAGTCTCGCTCTGTCGCCCAGGCTGGAGTGCAGTGGCGCTATCTCGGCTCACTGCAAGCTCCGCCTCCTGGGTTCGCGCCATTCTCCTGCCTCAGCCTCCCGAGTAGCTGGGACTACAGGCGCCCGCCACCGCGCCTGGCTAATTTTTTCTATTTTTGGTAGAGACGGGGTTTCACCATGGTCTCGATCTCCTGACCTTGTGATCCGCCCGCCTCGGCCTCCCAAAGTGCTGGGATTACAGGCGTGAGCAACCGCGCCCGGCTCTTTTCATTTTTTGAAACAGTGTTTCGCGCTTGTTCCCCAGGCTGGAGTGCAGTGGCACGATCTCGGCTCACTGCAACCTCCACCTCCCAGGTTCAAGTGATTCTCCTGCCTCAGCCTCTCAAGTAGCTGGAATTACAGGCGTGTGCCACCACACCCAGTTAATTTGGTATTTTCAGTAGAGACAGGGTTTCACCATGTTGGTCAGGCTGGTCTCGAACTCCAGACTTCAAGTGATTCACCTGCCTCAGTCTCCCAAAGAGCTGGGATTACAGGTATGAGGCACTGTGCCCAGACTGACAGTTGTTTTTTTCAACTGTTTGAAAATTATACTTTGGTAGCAGAGTCACATGGAACTTCTAAAACTTGAATAGTAGTGTATCACAGATCAGGGATTGTATTAGAGGTGTTCCACTAGAAAAAAGCCTCTACATTCCACTCCAGGAGGATGAAACTATTAAAGAGACAGAATAGAAATCACTAACAAAGTCAGAAGTACAAGAGCTAACTGAAAATAGTTGGCAGGGACTGAATTTGAGAACAATACCCCAAACAAGCAATTTTCCCATCTCTCCTTCCATCCCTAAAGAACACATGATGACTGATTTGTTTTCACTCCTTGGCAGCATCTCACTGACTTTTTTAGTGGAACTTCTGTGATCCAAAGGATTAGACAGAATAAGCCACGCAATGCCCTGGAAGCTGGGAACAGAAAACATTAAAAGGAGGGTGAGGATGGATGTGGCCACCCTAGCCCTTCCAGGCTACATACTTGGATTCATTCCCAAGTTTAGGCAAGGGGAGGGACTCTTGAGAAGTCTGACTGTGGGGCCGAGGACACAAGTGCTGCTATCCCTATGAAGGCCCCAGGGTGGAGCTTGCTGTGGTCTAGCAGCTGAGACTTTGAGCTCAGAATTTCCACTGCAGCTGGCAACAGCTGGGTCACTGCTGCTGCTTCCTTGAAGGAGCCCCTCTGAGAACCAGGAGTTCCAGTCCTAGACTCCATGCCTCTCCTTCCCACATACCAGACTTTAGGATCCAGCAATATTTACTTCCTCTACAACCCAGGGAGAGACAACTGGGACAAAGGCAGGAAGTCCTTCTACGCATGAGAAACATCCTTCCTAGAAAGGCTTAACTCCCTGCTCACAGCAGACCGAGGGCTCTACCCACCTGCTCTGCTCAGTCTCCTCGTCAGGACTCCTGTGGCACCTCTTTCATCCCTGCCTCACTCCTGCCTCTCCACAGTCCCCTTTTGGGCTCCTTACTTCAATCCTACATGCTGTCCTTGACTATACTTATGCTTCAGACTCAGCAAAAAATAAGGCAATTGTTCAGAATGGCAAAATAAAAATCACTCTGTATCTGTGGGTTTCCCACTTGTGGATTGAACCAGCCATGGATTGAAAATATGCAGGGAAAAAAAATGGCCTTTCTTCTAAGGTAGGTTCAGGGAAAAAAAACTAAAAAAATAACTGTTGGGTACTATGCTTAGTACCCAGGTGATGAAATAATCTATACACCAAATACCTGAGTCCCGAGTTTACCTATAGAACAAACCTGCACATGTACCCCTTAACCTAAAATCAGTTAAAATATATTTTTAAAAAAAGGATGGTTGCATCTGTACTGAACATGTGCAGACTTTTTTCTTGTCATTATTCCCTAAACAATACAGTATAACATTTATTTACATGGCATTGGTATTGTATTAGGTATCATATGTATTCTGGAGATAATTTTAATGTATATAGGAGCATGTGCAAAGGTTACATGCAAATACTACACAATTTTATTTTATTTTGATTATGTTTGAGACAAAGTCTTGCTCTGTCACCCAGGCTGGAGTGTAGTGGCGTGATCTCGGCCTACTGCAACCTCTGCCTTCTGGGTTCAAGCGATTCTGCTGTCTCAGCCTCCTGAGTAGCCGGGACTACAGGTGCCCACCACCACGCCCAGCTAATTTTTGTAGTTTTAGTAGAGATGGGATTTCACCATGTTGGCCAGGCTGGTCTCAAACTCCTGACCTCAGGTGATCCACCCATCTTGGCCTCCCAAACTGTTGGAATTACAGGTGTGAGCCATTGTGCCTGGCCACTACACCATTTTATCTAAGGGACTTGAGGCCAGGCTCAGTGGCCCATGTCTGTAATTCCAGCTTTTGGGGAGGCCAAGGCAGGAGGAATGATTGAGTCCATGAGTTTGAGACCAGCCTGGGCAACACAATGAAATCTCATCTCTATAAAATATACAAAAAATTAGCCAAGTATGGTGGCGTGTACCTGTAGTCCTAGCTACTCAGGAGGCTGAGGTGGGAGGATTGCTTGAGCCCTGGAGGCTATGGTTAGTTGTGATTACACCGCTGCACTCCAGCCTTGGTGACAGAACAAGATCCTGTCTCAAAAAAAAATGGGTAGGGACATGAGCTCGGTGAATTTTGGTATCCACGCAGGGGGACAGAGGAGGTCCTGGAACAAATCTCCCACAGATACTGAGGAACGAATATATGGTAAAGTCTAATCAAGGTTCTTCTCTGAGCAGGGTGCGGTGGCTCACACCTGTAATCCCAGCACTTTGGGAGGCTGAGGTGGGCAGATCACCTGAGGTCAGGAGTTTGAGACCAGCCTGGACAACACAGTAAAACCCCATCTCTAGCAAAAAAAAAAAGACACAAAAATTAGGCGGGTCTGGTGGTGTGTGCCTGTAATCTCAGCTACTTGGGAGGCTGAGACTCAGTCTTAAAAAAAAAAAAAAAGAATCTTCTCTGTCTTGTGATGTGAGAGAATTTCTGTAGCACATTATATTTAGTACGAGAAACAAAATTTAGAAATCAGGGACCTAGATTGATATGATACTCTTTCCCTCCCTCATAAACCAACATATCTGCCAATTCCCACCTCTCAAAAATTACTAGTCCAAGACAGTCCCCTTAGTTCCACTTACATACCTTTCTAGCAAGGTAAGCTGAGATAACGGACCAGTTAAAAATTTTTTTAAATATATATTTTTACTATATATATATATATATATATATATATTTTTTTTTTTTTTTTTTTTTTTTTTTACAGAGTCTTGCTCTGTAGCCCGGGCTGGACTGCAGTGGCCGGATCTCAGCTCACTGCAAGCTCCGCCTCCCGGGTTTACGCCATTCTCCTGCCTCAGCCTCCGGAGTAGCTGGGACTACAGGCGCCCGCCACCTCGCCCGGCTAGTTTTTTGTATTTTTAGTAGAGACGGGGTTTCACCGTGTTAGCCAGGATGGTCTCGATCTCCTGACCTCGTGATCCGCCCGTCTCGGCCTCCCAAAGTGCGAGACAAGGTCTCACTATGTTGTCCAGCCTGGTTTTGAACTCCTGAGCTCAAGCAATCCTCCTGCCTTGGTCTCCCAAGGTGCTAGGATTACAGGTGTGAGCCACCATGCCCAGCCCAAGGACCAGTTTTAGATATATACCAGACTTTATTTTTTATTGTTTATTATTTTTTGAGTTGGACATCTGTGCACTCTTGCCACTTTTCCAACATTCCTAATTGGGCAATTCCATGATTCAAATCTACTAAAAAGAACTCTGAGGGGTCTTCACAGGGTAGATGCACAGCAATTGCTTCTATCTCCACCTTCTTTATCTGCTAATTTGAGGTCTCCATTCCCAACGAATATCTCCAGCAGCAGAAAGTCTCCGAAGTGCATGATTTGATTGGCAAGTCCCACTTTCTTCCATCCCCACTGCCAGCTCTCTCATGCCTTCTAATTAACATCTATAGAGATACTAAACTTTTCTATTCAAGGTGTAAGGACAGCAACTTTCCACTAAGACCATCAGGTTGGGGGAGGTGCTGGAAAGAAAGCTTGATATTAGGCTTTAAAGGCCCGTCCCACACTGGCTTTCCTTAAAGAAACACATAAAAGCTTTATAATATATATCAGTAATAGGTAGAATTTTTTTTTTTTTGAGACAGAATCTCACTATATTGCCCAGGCTGGAGTGCAGTGGCACGATCTCGGCACACAGCAAGCTCTGCCTTCTTGGTTCACACCATTCTCCTGCCTCAGCCTCCTAAGTAGCTAGGACTACAGGCGCCCACCACCACACCTGGCTAATTTTTTTGTATTTTTAGTAGAGACGGGGTTCCACCATGTTAGCCAGGATAGTCTTGATCTCCTGACCTCGTGATCTGCCTGCCTTGGCCTCCCAAAGTGCTGGGATTACAGGCGTGAGCCACCGCACCCAGCCAGTAGCAGGTAGAATTTTTTAAGAGAGAGGCTACTGAGTCTCTGGAGTAGAAACAAAATGCTAGGTGTTTTTGTTTCTATGTGTCTATGGAGTAGAAACAAAATGCCATTGCCTTTTAGGATAAGTGAGCTGGCAAGGCCAGGAGTGGTGGCATGCATCTGTAATCCCAGCTACTGAGACAGAAGGATCACTTGAGCCCAGGAGTTCAAGACTAGCCTGGACAACATAACGAGACCCTGTCTCAAAACCAAATCTATACTGTCCCTGGAAGCCTACCCACATGCACTCCAACTTACGGCTGACACAGCTTGACAAGATCTTGGTCAGTAGTGCCTGGCTGCAATCCTCGGATGTATAGGTTGGTTTTGCTCAGCTGGTCATTTCCATTGCTTCCACTACTGCTGTTAGGTGTACTGTTGCTTGGGCTAGGTGGTGCCATCTGCTGAGCCAATGACACATATGGCTGCAGGGAGACATGAGGAAAAGGTAGAAGGATTATACATTTACATGTTGGAGAGTGAGGAAGATCCTGGCCCTCTTGAAAAAATGATTCCAAACTATATATAATCACAAATGTGCACTCACTTGGACACACATAGTTTGTTCCTTAGCTCCATATTTTAGCAGAGAAGAAGAAATCCAATACCACATTCTGAGATAGCCCAAAGACTAAAATCCTGTTGTAGCTTTTAATACATCCTTTATATTTCCTATTCCTTTCTCCCTCTTTTTGCCAGCACTTACATTAGGATTTCCCAGATAACACTCTGTAGACTGGGCGTGGTGGCTCACACCTGTAATCCCAGCACTTTGGGAGGCCAAGGCGGGTGGATCATGAAGTCAGGAGATCAAGACCATCCTGGCTAACATGGTGAAACCCCATCTCTACTAAAAATGCAAAAAAATTAGCCAGGCATGGTGGTGGACGCCTGTAGTCCCAGCTACTCAGGAGGCTGAGGCAGGAGAATGGCGTGAACCTGGGAGGCGGAATTTGCAGTGAGCTGAGATCGCGCCACTGCACTCCAGCCTGGGCAACACAGTGTTTGAAAAAAAAAGAAATGCAGACCGGGCGCGGTGGTTCACGCCTGTAATCCCAGCACTTTGGGAGGCTGAGGCGGGTGGATCACGAGGTCAGGACTTTGAGACCAGCTGACCAGTGTGGTGAAACCCTGTCTCTACTAAAAATGCAAAAAAAAAAAAAAAAAATTAGCCAGGTGTAGTGGCACTCACCTGTAATCCCAGCTACTCAGGAGGCTGAGGCAGGAGAATCCCTTGAACCTGGGAGGCAGAGGTTGCAGTGAGCCGAGATCACGCCACTGCACTCCAGCCTGGGTGACAGGGCAAGAGTCCGTTCCCCCGCCCCCCCAAAAAAATGCAACTCAAAACCACAGTAGGATACCGTCTCACAACAGTCAGAATGGCTAGCATTAAAAAACTAACAGATGCTGGTGAGGTTATGAGGTTATGGAAAAAAGGGAACACTTATACACTGTTGGTGGGAGCGCAAATTAGTTCAATCATTGTGGAACACAATGTAGTGATTCCTCAAAGACCTAAAAACAGAAATATAATTTAGCCCAGCAATCCCATTGCTGGGTATATACCCAAAGGAATAGAAATCATTCTATCATAAAGACACAAGCATGTGTATGTTCGCTGCAGCACTATTCACAATAGCAAAGACATGAAATCAACCAAAATGCCCATCAATGGTAGACTGAATAAAGAAAAGGTTATACATATACACATGTAATACTATGCAGCCATAAAAAGGAATGAAATGCTGTCCTTTGCAGGAACGTGGTTGGAGCTGGAGGCCATTTTCCTTAGCAAACTCACGCAGGAACAGAAAACCAAATACTGCATGTTCTCACTTATAAGTGGGAACTAAATGATGAGAACACATATTTACATTAAGGGGAACAATACACACTGGGGTCTGTCCGAGGGCGGAGGGTGAGAGGAGGGAGAGGAACAGGACAAATAACTAATAGGTTACTAGGCTTAATAACTGGGTGACAAAATAATTTGTAAAACAAAACCCCATAACACAAGATTACCTATATAACAAACCTGCACATGTACCCATGAACTTAAAATAAAAGTTAAATAAATTTTAAAAATAATCACTTTGAAATTTCCATTTAAGGCCGGGCGCAGTGGCTCAAGCCTGTAATCCCAGCACTTTGGGAGGCCGAGACGGGCGGATCACGAGGTCAGGAGATCGAGACCATCCTGGCTAACCCGGTGAAACCTCATCTCTACTAAAAAAATACAAAAAAAACTAGCTGGGCGTGGTGGCGGGCGCCTGTAGTCCCAGCTACTTGGGAGGCTGAGGCAGGAGAATGGCATAAACCCAGGAGGCGGAGCTTGCAGTGAGCTGAGATCCGGCCACTGCACTCCAGCCTGGGTGACAGAGCGAGACTCCGTCTCAAAAAAAAAAAAAAAAAAAAAAGAAATTTCCATTTAATTACTAGTTCTGCAATAATAATAACACACTGGTCCAGGCACAGTGGCTCACATCTGTAATCCCAGCACTTTGGGAGGCTGAGGTGAGAGAACTGCTTGAACCCATGAGTTTGAGACCAGCCTGAGCAATATAGCAAGACCCCATCTCTACAAAAAATACAAAAATTAGCTGAGGCAGGGTGCAGTGGCTCACGCCTGTAATCCCAGCACTTTGGGAGGCTGAGGCAGATGATTCACTTGAGGTCAGGAGTTCAAGACCAGCCTGGCCAATATGGCGAAACCCCGTCTCTACTAAAAATATAAAAATTAGCCGGGCTTGGTGGTGCATGCCTGTAATCCCACCTATATGGGAGGCTGAGGCAGAAGAATCGCTTGAACCCGGGTGGCGAAGGTTGCAGTGAGCCAAGATTGCACCACTGCACTCCAGCTTGGGTGACAGAACAAAACTCTGTCTCAAAAAAAAAAAAAAAAGGCTGGGCGTGGTAGCTCATGCCTGTAATGTCAGCACTTTGGGAGGCCACGGCTAGCGGATCACAAGCTCAAGAGACTGGGACCATCTTGGCCAACATGGCAAAACCCCGTCTCTACTAAAAATACAGAAATTAGCTGGGCATGGTGGTGCGTGCTTGTGGTCCCAGCTTCTAGGGACGCTGAGGCAGGAGAATGGCGTGAACCCGGGAGGAGGAGAGCTTGCAGTGAGACGAGCTCGCGCCACTGCACTCCAGCCTGGACGACAGAGTGAGAGTCTGTCTCAAAAAAAAAAAAAAAAGAAAGAAAGAAAGAAAAACCCAGGCGAGGTGGCTCACGCCTGTAATCCCAGCACTTTGGGAGGCTGAGGCAGGTGGATCCACCTGAGATCGAGAGTTCGAGACCAGCCTGACCAACACGGAGAAACCCTGCCTCTACTAGAAATACAAAATTAGCTGGGCGTGGTGGTGCATGCCTGTAATCCCAGCTACTCAGGAAGTGGAGGTTGCAGTGAGCTGAGATCGCCTATTGCACTCGGCCTGGGCAACAAGAGTGAAACTCCCTCTCAGAAAAAAAAAAAAAAGAAAGAAAGAAAGAAAAAAAAAAGAGGCTATTGGTTTGCTACCATGGTTACCATCTTGGTTTTAATACTAAGGTCTTAGCTATAGTTTAAAAATATGACTTAGTCAATAATAAACTTACTACAAGGCCTGAAAAAATTCTTAGAAAAGAAGATATGGCTCAGAAGAAAACAACTTTTCTGCCTTTATGGAGCTTACAGTCAGCAAAAACACTGTGGGACTGGCCCCTCTGATCAGGAGGTAAATTCTTTAGCCTTTTGCTCTGTAGTAAGCCATTGCCTACTATAAAACAACTTTTATCTCTTGCTATTCTCACGTACCTTCTGAAATTGCTGCATAGGTTTGACAACAAAGAAAAATGGTAGAAAAATATTCACTTTTAAGGGTAAGAGAATACAAGGGAGGAGAAATGGCTAAGAAAGCCCCTAAGTAAAGCTTATCTGGCTTCCTAAAACAATTTGGAGACAAAGACCCTGTAAACTAATAATATGTTTACCTATAATATGTGAGAGAGAAAGGGGTAATACGTATGAGCACCCAGGGCACTGACATATTCTTACTGGAGAAGGGAAGAATAAAAAGAAGCTATGGTTTCTCCAGAGCTCTATAATGGATTCCCTTTTAAAGTTTCTCAGCTGAGGAAGTTCTAATTCTTCAACAGAAGAGCATCATAAATGCATTTATATCCAAATTGATAGAAAGATGAAGGCTAGGGTAGGCAATGGCTTCCTATAGAGCAAAAAGCCTAAAGAATTTCCCTCCTGATCAGAGGGACCAGTCCCACAGTGGTTTTGCTGACTGTAAGCTACGTAAAGCAGAAAATTGTCTGAGTTGCCTATCTTTGAATCCATAGTGACTAGCACATGGCAGACATTAAATATTTGTTGATGAATAAATAATATCATCAGTTAATATTATCAGCTAATATCATCATCATGAATGAGCTGCCTTCTCAGCTCTGTTCAATCCCAGCTACTCCAGAGGCTGAGGCAGGAGAATCACTTGAACTCAGGAGGCAGAGGATGCAGTGAGTCAAGATCATGCCACTGCACTCCAGACTGGGCGACAGAGTGAGACTCTGTCTCAAAAAATAAAAAATTAAAAAAAAAAGCTAAAAGACAAAGTAATGTTTAATATAAGAGGAGATTACAGTGACATACTTTTACATTAAATACTTTAGATCCTATGATCCCCAGATATTTTTATAGGGTATCTTACAGCATAATTCTCTATTCTTTATTTATTTTATTTTTCAGGTCTCGCTATGTTGCCCAGGCTGGTCTTGAACTCCCGGGCATGAGCAGTCTTCCAGCCTTGGCCTCCCAAAATGCTGGGATTACAGGTCTGAGTGAGCCACTGTGACTACCCTGTCTATTCTTTAAATACCACATTACCAATTTATAGGGAATTGAGGTATTTCTCACTCCCTCTCTCTCGTCCTCTTTTTTTTTTATTTTATTTTTTTAAGACACAGAGTCTAGCTCTGTCTTCCAGGCTGGAGTGCTGTGGCATGATTATGCTCACTGTTACCTCAAATTCCTGGGCTCAAGTGATCCTCCTGCCTCAGCCTCCCGAGTAGCTAGGACTACAGGCACACACCACCACACATGGCTAATTTTAAAAAACATTTTTGGCTGGGTGTGGTGGCTCATGCCTATAGTCCCAGCATTTTGGGAGACTGAGTGAGAGGATTGTTTGAGTCCAGGAGGTTGAGACCAGCCTGGCAACATGGTGAGACCCCCATCTCTACTAAAAATACAAAAATTAGCTGGGCATGGTGGTGGGCGCCTGTAATCCCAGGTACTCAGGAGGCTGAGGTGGGAGGATCACTGGAGCCCAGGAGGTAGAGGCTGCAGTGAGCTGAGATCGTGTCACTGCATTCCAGCTTGTGTGACAGAGTGAGATCTGGTCTCAAAATAAAATAAAATAAAATAAAAATTCGTAG